GGGAACTTCGTTGTGTGATAGGAGAGCCAAATCCCTCTTAGCACTTTGATTTTGTTACCTAAGAGAAATTAGCCTTTGACCTCCCCTTTCCAGCTCTTGCCATCTGAGCTCCCAAACCCCATCCATACCAAACACAATGGACAAAACCGCCAGGAGTGTGGGCAGGTAGAGGGATGAGCGATTCCATGATATTCACATGTAAGACAAAATTTCCAGACTACCTTACCCAAGGCCACACTCTGCCTTGAATCTCTCATGCTATTATAAGTGGCTCGTAGTAGGTAGTTAGGAGTGGGTAATGTGGCTGAGAATCCTTCCAATAGGAAGCAGAAGAGACAACCAGAAAGAAGCTTCTGAGCTACAGGGGAGGCTGGAGGGGACCAGGAAGGGCTGGGGTATGAAGAGAGAGGCCTGGAACTGTGGCTGGCCTATCCCCAGCCTGCAAGAACTCGGGAGACCTGAGTGAACCAGGCTGTGCAGGAATGTGAGAACGTTTACATCTTATTCCTCGCGCCCACACGGCCATACTTTCTCTATTTATTTATAGGCCCCTTTCCACCCAAACAAACTTGCCCCTCGCTAAGACATAAGCTCTGTCCTGGGCACTGGTACCCGATGTGGGGGGCCTCCTAAAGGGATCAGAAATGAAAACCTCAGCTCCTCAGTGGCTGAGCTGTGTCAGCTGTAGCTAAAGGGTCCTTACTTCTCTGAACCGGACTCCTGTTAGCTGGCATGTGACAGATATTTAGGAACATGGAATAACCTCAAAGGAGAAAAGTGTCAGACCAGGAAAGGGTCAGGGACAGAGATGAGACTGTTTGCTTTCTCTTCTGTTTTGGACATATACACTTAGAGTCACAGAGCCTGAGAAAGTTAGGAACTGAGAGATGACGTCCAATCCTCTATTTACAGATGTGGAAACTGAGTCTCAGAGAGGGATCATGACTTGCCCAAGGTGACTTATGCAAACTGCCACAAACTCCAATGCCAGCGTTCAGATCTAAGGGGGCTGCTTATACAAACACCCATCCCCTAAGGAAGAGAACCAGAAAAAATGGTTTTAAATTGCAAACAAAAGGATTCAGGTGAGAAAAAAAGAAGAATCCTGACTACAAGAGTGGGTAACAGAAGACTGTGGAACAGCCTGCTCTGGGAGGGGATCCTGCCCTCAGGTGGGGGACACCTCAGAAGATCTCTGCACTGCAAGTCCCAGGGACGCCACTCTCACACCAGTCCTTTCATTTGGAGTCCAGGGGATTCAAGGTCCCTCTCCCACAGCCTGGCACCATGGCCAGTGGCTGGGGGAACTTGAGAGTACAGTCCTGGAACAGGTGCAACAGCTGGAGCAACTATACAGCTGTTGCCTGCTCTGGCTCAGCGGCCTGCAAGCGAGTGAGTCAGAGACCTCTACTGGTGAGACAGAGGAGGTGCAGAACTGCCCAAATAGACCCAGAGAGGGGCTTGCCTGGAGCCAGATGTCAGGCCTTCACTTAGACACTGACCACCTGCTATGTACATCTGGACAAGTGGATGGGGATGCAACTAACCTGGACAGCAGGACAGGGTCCCCACTTGTGAGTCTCCTTCTACACCCACTGTCCCAGACCCCCTAGGTACTTTTTCCTGGTGTCTCGGGGTCTATCTACTCCTCCCTGTCAGAGCAGGAGTATCAGGCAGCAGACCCACTCACCTCACCTTCCTAACTTCCCTTTCGAAAGTCCCAAGAAGACTCAGAATCAAGGCAACAGCATCTTTGGATTTTAGAGTCTTAGAATCACGGGATGTTAAAGCCAGAGCAGTCCTCAATGATTACCTATTTGGGTCCAACCATCTAGCTCTATAGCTGGGGACACTGAGGGGCAGAGAAAGGCAACATGCCCTGTGTCACAGCTGGCATTGGTGGTAGAGGCAGAGCTGGAGCCCTGACCTTATGATTCCAAGTTTGTCCTTCACACCACATCATGCCGTGGGAGCTCCCTTCCCACCACATCTCTGCTCCTGGGTTTGGGACTCTGTCACCTGGGAGCAGACACTTTGAGTCCCATAGAACAATAGCCCTTGGGGAAAGAATAGAAACATCAGTGTTTTTAGTGCATATCTAACTCTCCTGAAAGCAGGATTGGGTGGAGGGAGGGGAGAGATAGTGGAAGCATGCTGGACACCTTAAAGGGGGAGGCAACGAGTAAGGGAAGGACACAGAACAGAGGAGCTGACGCAGAGGGGACAAAGCACTGGAGAGAGAAACAAGATACCAGACAGGTTCTTGTCCCACAGAGAGTTGTGGGACAAGACACATGCCTGTGACTCTGGCTGAGGCTGGCATCGGAACTGCTCAGTGACGAGGTCAGGAACCCGAAATCAGGGTTCAACCCGTGGTCCAGGCTTGAGGATCAAGGGTCAGCCTGTGGCTGGAGTTGAGTCTCAGTCTGGGTTGGGAGCAGGACTTAATCTGTGGCTGGAAACAGAACCAAGGGTACAATAACCTCTGTTTGAATAGCCTTGCAATTTAACTGAGGAGAAAGCTGACACGAGTGCCCAAAGGCCATTGGCATTTGCTGGGCTGAGCCACCTCAGGAGTCTGAAGACCTGAGAATGTCCATCTGTTGGCACCACTTCTGGAAGAACTTGAGGTATTACCAGGAAAGTTCTTCCCCACAACAGGCCTGAGATCTTACTTAAACTCAGACAAGGACCATCATAAGAGACCTTTAAGTTGAACACGGGCAAACGACTATCAGATTGTTTCTAGATTTACAAATTGTCATCAGTAGACAAAATAAGGTTCAGAGACAGGAAGTGATTTGGCCTGAACTGTACAACCAGTAAGTGACAAATCAGGGGCTACAATTTTTCCTTTAACAAATTTGCTGTGTGGCCTTGGGCAAGTCACTCACCCTTTTTGAATAGAGTTTGATTATAAGGATAGGAAAATTGAGGGGTAGGAGCAGATGATTTTCAAAGGTTCCTCCAGTTCTGACATCTTCAAACCTTAACACAGCCCTCCGAATGTCAGCCCACCTCGCCTCAGCTCAATCATGTCTGCTCTGTCATTTCCTTGTGTGTCTGGAGCTAAGTTCCAGGCTGTGGTGGAGACTGAATACTGGCAAGACCCTGTGAGAGGCACAGACCTCAGAGCCAGGGGAGGCTTGAGGGAAGGAGATCAGAGTGGATCGGGTGGCCAGGGAGACCTTCCCAAAGGGGTATGCCTAAGCAAGGGGAAGGGCTGACGAGAGGGGGAAGGCCAAGGGCAGAGGCGTGAGTCAGACACAAGCAATTCTGCAAAATGATCTGATTCTGGGGCATCTTTCCAAGATGCAAGAAGGGCAACAATCTCTGGAGAAAAACCTTGGGGGCTAAGGACGATGTGCCAAAGGGGAGAGGTAGGCACGAAGGGCATCCTGTGCTAAATCCCTTTTAAGAAACAACAGGTAAGTGTTAGGAGGAAACCTCCAGGGCTCAAGAAGGGGGAGGAGACATTTACTGAGTGTCAGGCATTGTGCTGAGCACTTTAACACAGGCACTTCCTTCCATCCTTCCAAGAACCCCTTGGGTTCCAGGTGAGTATGTGTATTGGAAAGATTAAGAGATTGAGTCTCAGAGAAGTTGTGACTTAAGAAAGGTCACACCACTACTAAGGAGCAGAGCCAGGACTTGAACCCAACATGGAACTTTTTCCATTACTTGTTACTGAGGACTACTAGGAGTCTCATGCTGCAGCAGCTCACGGACGACCAGACAAGCAGCCTGCCTTTGCAAGCAGAGATGAGAATGAAACAAAATCTAGTCCCACCAGCTTCAAAAAGTCACATGCAAAAGGAAGGCAGAGGTGGGGGAGCTGCGCTGTGGAGAGAGCACTGGGCTGGGAGGTGGGAAGCTGGGGTCTTCACCCCAGGCTCTGCCCTGTATAACCTGGAGTCAAACCACGCCTCTCTTGGGTCTCAGTTTCTTTACTGGATATTTCAGAGCTTGAACTGAGCTCCTTCCTTCTTATGAAGAAACCCTTTGGCTTTGTTTGATATCCTCACAGAATTCTAAGAGGTTGGCAGGGAATGGAGAGAGTGTCCACCAGAACACTTGCAGGGCCGTGAGGAAACCGAGGTTCAGAGAGATTATACAGACTCGCTGAGGTTACACAGTGTCCAAGTGGAAAGCATGAATTGGGGAACTGATATTTTAAAAGAACCTGCTATGTGCCAGCTAGTTGCTTTACATGTTTTCTCTAATTTAATCCTCACTTCAATTCTGGGATTTTTTGCTCCCATTTTATTGATTAGGAAACCGAGGCTCAGAGAAGTGCCCCGCATGCCTGCCTCCCACCAGCTGGTATTCAACAGATCTGGGATGATGGACACTGGCCTCTCTCACTGTGCCCTGCTGCCTCCTAGAGTCTCACAGGTCCAAATCCAGGCTCCTCCCAGACCCTGTGGGACAGAGAAAGCACAGGATTTGGAATTGTAGAGTTCTGGCTTCTGATGGCTTACTAGCTCTGTACACTTGAACAAGTTTCTTCTCTCAGCCTAAGTTTTCTCATCTGCAAAATGCAAACGATACCCACCTCCTGGGAGTGTTAAGAGAATCAAAAGAGATAAAACGGAAGGGGAACGTTACCCTAGTTGGCTCTTCTTTCTCTCCACCAGTTCTCTTTAAAGTGCAGTAGCCTTTTCCTCTTCATCACACCTTTGCAGCCAAACACTCGGGACTCTACTAGGAATAAGTGCCCCCACTCCCACCCTCAGAGCACAGTGACCAGCCCTCTCTCAAGCTGCCTTCAGGTCCATGCAGCAGCCCCCGGGGCTCTGAGTCTTGCCAGGTCCCCCGCCACCCCAGTCTCCCAGTCATCAGCCCAGGCAGGTCTGCGGAGGAGCGCCACCCTGCCGGCACAGGTGCTGCCTGGATGGCAGTCAGAGCACCTTGGGGTCCCTAACCCTGGCACTTTCCCTGCATACCCCTGGGGCTCGCATCCCTCCTCTGCCCACCCAGCGCCCCCACCCCCTACTTACGAGCTCGAGCGTGGGAGTCCAAGGGGAACCAGAGCAGTGCGAGTCCCAGCAAGGAAGAAAGGACCCTTCCTTCGGGAATCATCCTTCCTTCTCCCAGAGCCAGGCCACCAGGTGCTGAGCCGGGACGGGGGTCGGAGGTAGTGAGATGAGGGGGACACTGAGGCACAAGGGCACAAAGCAACCCACAGACGCAGGGAGGGCTGTTGCTACTGTGGAGCCAGAGAAGGGTCGAGAAGAAGGCGGTGAGGACCAAAAGGGATGTCTAAGGTGGGAATAAGAGGAAGGTGAAAAGAGAAACAGGGAAAGGAGGGGGAAGATGGAGAGATGAGGAAGGTACGGCAACCGGGGAAAAGCAATTCGAGCAAAGGAGAAGGTGAGAGGGAGGGTCGGAGAAGAAAGACAGGAGAGGACAGGGGTCTGCACAGCGCGCAGCGTTCGGCGAGGCGCGCGGGACCGGCGGGCTGTTCTGGGCGCGAGGATTAGAAACGGCTGGCCCCCCCTGCTCGGTGGGCTCCAGGTCGGGCCGCGGGGTCCTGGGGCCCGGCGAGGCGGCGGTCCCGGCGGCGGCGACGGCGCGGCGGCCGCGGGGGTAGGTTGCACGGGGGCCGGCTATGCACGCCAAGGGCGCCAGGCGCCGCGCTCGGGCGCATTTGTACTTTGCCGCGGGAAGCAGGCAGCCCCGGCCTGGCGCTGGCCTAGCACTGGCGCCTCCTCTGGGGCACCGCGGGCTCGGTGGATTGGCCACCCGAGAAACAGGCCCACTTTTTCCCCTCCTCTCTCGTGCGGGTCTCCGGGACCGACGCTCCAGGCGCGGCGCCGGGAGGAGGCGAGGGGGCTAGGGAGGGGGAAGGGGCCACCAGGGCCACGGGTTTTAACCCCTGACTCCCCGCGACGCGCAGAGTGCAGGAGGACGAAACCCATTTAGGCTTCTGGTAGAACTTTCGGGTGAGGAAAGATGAGATGTCGGGATCGGAGAGGGGAAACCGGCCACGGAACCTAGAGGCGCTCAATTTGGGGAGCTCGGCTGTGCGTGCACAGAACTCGGGCTCTCGGTGGAATCAGTACACTTGCTGTTCTTAATTCCGTTTGCGGTATTGGCCCCTTCACCTCAGAGCCTGTTTCCCCATCTCTGAAACGGGAATCTTCATGTCTCTAGTATCTGTAATATTTTAGTATCTTCCCACAATCGTTTGGCTCCTGCTTACTATGGCCACCTACCCTACACTTTCACCAGCAAAATGAGTTGAGAAAATGATCGTCAATGCCCTCAGATTTGAAAAAGTACAGGTCATGATTCCAGGCTACTAGAATGCCCTTCCCACTTTCCCTGCGTACGCACGCAAGCCATGACCGGGGTGAAATCCAGCACGGCTTGACACTTTCTTTGGAAGTCTTCCTCTGTGTCCCCATTCCATTCCCAAAGCAGGACACAATCTCTCCTTTGCCACTGCAGGTCCAAAGGCCTGCACCTCTCTGAGGGTGTTGGCCATGTTCAGTCCTCTTCAGTAACAGTTGGTTGTCAAACTGTTGTCTTGCCCACCAGAATTCCAGCTTCTGGAAGTCAGGATGCTGAAGCTCCCCACCCCCAGCCTATGGATGGTGCTATATACCTTGTGTTCAATGAGAGCTTGAGTTTAATAGGATCCTAAAAAGAGAACAGCCAACCCTGTCCAGACAAGGAACACCCAGACTCTGAAATCAAAGGGGCAGGGTCCCTGTCCTGGCTCTCTCCCGAGATTACTGGGACATTTTGGTGTGCTCGTTCCTGCTTCCTGCCCAGCTTCTCTTGCAGAGCTGCTGGAAACGCCAGTGAGAGCTGGAGGACGGAACACGGAGGCGAGCAAGAAATGAGGTGGGATGTCGAGCCTCTTCCCACTCTGGTAGAGAATCACATTTCCAGGTTGAAACACTTCTGACTGGTTGTCTATAAAAATATCTTCCTGGTCTAAGGCTGGGCTCCCCACTCCACTGGGCTGCCAGTCTGTCCCCAGGACAGAGAGCACTGGGAGCCCCCGGGGGTCTCAGAGACAGAGCTTCCCCAGGCATCTCAGACCAGGGACAGACATGGTCTGTTTTCAGGGCACCCTTCAGAGTTAACTTCTCCCATTCCCATCTGGCCAGTCTCTTCCTCTCCACTGAGTACACTTTATTTTAAAATGTAATGAGAGCTCTGTTTGTCATCAAGCTTCCCTTTTTGCCTTGGCTTTCAGGGAGCTCAGGAGTTAAATTGAGTGCTTAATTGCAGAAATAATCTCATCCCAAGGATATGGGACAGAGATCTTTTCCTTTCTCCATTTTTGTTTAAAATTTTCTGTACATATACATATATTCACTTCTTAGGTATAAGAGGTGGATTAAGGTTGGTTCCTCCTCCCCACGCCCCCACCCCCCACCCCCTGCTCATTCTGCTTCAGGAAATGTCTCTACCGTGAGACCAGAAAGGTCTCAATCATCCTCTCCATCCTTACTGTCCTGGAGTTCAGGCCATCCCTTACTGGACATTGCCAACAGCTTTTTAACAAGTCTTCTGCCCCTAGTCCAGACCTCTCCAATCTGTTTTCCTCATCCCTGCTGCAAGAATTATGTTGATCACATCACCTACCCACTTAAAACCCATCATCAGAAATAAAAAGTAAATAATATTAAATGCAATGTGGTCTCTTGCATTGGATTTTGGGACAGTGAAAGCACATTTGTGGGAGAACTGGTGAGTGAAATCTATATTTTAGTTAATAGCAATGGACCAAGGTAGGTGTCTTCATCCTGACGCATGTGCCGTGGCTATGCAAGGTGTTCACGGTGGGGAGACAGGGTGAAAGGTGCATGGGGTGTGGCCCAAGTAGGTTTATACTTGTTCGTGTGGAAAACAGTACAATAATTAATAACCAATAATTCAAGAATAAACTGTGTTTTGCTTATAGCTGTAAACCCACTTTTGCCCCATCCTGTATGGTTCTTGGATAAGAACTCTGGACTATCTTTGCAACTTTTCTGTCAATCTGAGATTCTTCCAAAATAAAAACTTTAAGTAAACAAATAACAGGAAACAAAACATCACTGGCTTCCTAACTGTTACAGATTAAAATAAGAAACCATTAGCATTGGATTCAAAACCATGCACATTCTGACATTTTGGCTTCTCTGTACCATTACCACCTGCCCTAGCCTTCACCAGCCACTCACCACCCCAGTCGGCATTGCATGTTCGTGCCTCCATATTTTTGCATGTTTTTCTTCTGCCTGGACTTTCTCCTTCTTCGTTAAGTGAATCCCTTTTCACCTTTCAAAAGTCAACTCTCTTAATTCTCCCCCACCCTCTTCTGCTCTAGTAAAGGGAGTCGGATATATTGTGATGTAAAGAGACTACACTGGGGGGTAGTGAGCACACAATAAAGTATACTGATGTCGTATTATAAAGCTGTACACCTGAAATTTATATCCTGTTATTAACCATGTTATCCTGACAAATTTAATGATTTAAAAAGTCAGCTCTGAGTCACTTCCTCTTTGAGGCCTTCCCCGAGCCCCCGTGGCAAAGTGAATTTTTGGTAAAACTTAGTATTGTAGCTATTGGAGTGTACATATTTATTTGCATTTCTACCCTGCACTGTGAGAGCGGGGGTGTTTTTCCATTTCTATCCACATTTCTAGCACTTAGCAAAGACCCTGACACACAGTGAAACTGGATAAATAATTGCTTCATGAATAAGTGTGGACCTCAGTGATCTGAAAAATATTATGGGAGAGGCCATGGGAGAGCCTCAGCACCCCTGTTGCCGTCAGGTTTCTTTTTCCTCCTCACCCAAGGATATTTTTTTCATTGCTTTTAGAGAGGAAGGGAGAGGGAAACATTGAGGCAAGAGAGAAGCATCGGTTGGTTGGCTCCTGTACACGCCAGAACGGGGGATTGTACGTACCTAGACCTGCTTGGACTGGGGATCAAACCCATAGTTGGTGTGTGCCCTGACCAAGAATCGAACCTGCACCTTTCAGTTATGGGATGATGCTCCCAACTACTGAGCCATACTGGCCAGGGCTTGTCTTCTGTTTTAATCAATGATTGACATAAGAAACAAGCACTTGAGGAAAGTTTCTGTGTCTTCTGTGGAATTGCTGTTGAGGATGGTTACGTGTATATTATTTAATATCCTTTAAGCAATGAGATTTGATAAATTCGCCCAATATCTAGACAGGGAAGAAATTGTATCTATGCATAGCAATTTGTTGCACCCCTTTGGTGGGACCTGCTCGCTTCTCTCTTAGGGAACTCGCTCGCTGCCTTCCAGGGCAGTCCATCGCACTGTTGGACAGCTCTGTTAGAAAGTTCTTTAACGGAAATCTGATTCTCCTGGACTCCTTGCATTTGCTCTTAGCTCTGCCCCCAGGGTTGCACAGAGCAAGCCAATTTCTGTCTTTTGAGAGTTCTAGATATTAGAGGCAGAGAACCCTCTTCCACACTCCCATCCCTACCAGTTGCAGTCCCTGGACCCTTCGTGCTGCATTCAACGTTTTCTTCAGATGTGCTCAGCTCTTTGCCCCCACACCTCTGCACAGACTGTTTCTTCTATGCCCTCTTTCTACCCACTCTTATGTGTCTAGCAAGCTTATTTTTCCACGGTCTAGGTAATTGCTACTCCTTCACTCATCAAATAGTTACTAAGTGACAACTCTGGGGCTAGGGACCAGACAGACACTGGTGCGAAGAGTCCAGGTTCTTGTTGCAGTCTCTCTCGTGGCCTGAGTTACCTTCTCTTTCCTCCATGCCTCTGTACCTCCATTACAGCACTTACCACACTGTATTATCAAAGGTTTTGTGTCTCCTCCTCTAAAGTGAGTTCTTGAGAACACAGACTACTATTTATTGAATATCTTCCCTAGTCCTCGGCAGATAGCTTTGCACATAGTAGCTGCTAAATAAAGGCTTGTTGAAAATATTCTTGTTCCTTCAAATAGTCACCTTATGACTATTGGTTGGTAAAAAGCCACCTCCTGGGCTGCAACTTCCTTGATTATGTAAAGTTAGCATAACAATAAGAACCTTGGAGATCAGTGTCAAGGAAAGACTTCTTAATCCAGCCCACTTAATTTTGAAAGATTCTAAAAGCAAATTCACCATAAGAAAGTTAGTCTAAGACTGTGTAATAGAGACTGTCTACCAGTAGTGTGCTGGTAAATGTTTAACAACCAGCTCTCCAAGGGGGAAAAAAGCCCTTGTTTTAATAGCAGTTGCCAATTTCCATGGTCTATATACCCCCACCATGGCCAATTTCAAGCTACCAATGTGACATCATTGAATGTGAAGTTGAGAAGAGATGCACAGTAATCTCCTGTTACATAGTATTTCCATCATACAGGTACAATGGATGCAAATAATATCAAGAACATTGATAGTAAAATAATTAGGAGGTGATGAGTTTGACTTTTTAACTCATTTGAGTGTATATAAGTTAATGCTTGATTGTATTTCACAACCAGCTTGCAAAATTCCTGAAAATCTAACATTCAGCCATCCTGAGCCCTTCCAAGCCAGTTCTGGTTACTTTTTCTTTTTTTTCATTGCAGTATCAGCAACACACAATATTACATTAGTTCAGATGTGTAACA